TTTGCAGATTGTCTTTGTCTACTTGATGGCCGTTTCAATCAACTTCGTACATTCAATGTTAAAATTAGATCCATTCATTATCCATTTGTAGTGATGAATAATAAAGTAAGTTGATCTTACAATGACGTAAGAATTATCATAAAAACAAATAATTTATTTATTAAATGTATCATTGATATATTTTCTCTTAATATTTACCATATATATTGTTTATCTTTTTAGGAAAAACTTCCTAATTTAAGATCTTTTTCTTTTACATGTGCTAGTGGTTCTAATTATTATGAGGTTTTCATTGTGCCACTTGTTCATCAAATGTTAAATCTCAAAGAACTCGCTTTATATTTTTTCATCAGTACTGAAATATTCATTGATGGAAACAATTTGAAAAAATATTATCGATCATTTACCACGATTAAATAAATTTCTATTTAATATTTGTTCAACTATCTATCTTCGTGATCAAGCTACTTATTTACCATCAAATGAAGAAATTCAACAAACATTCATAAATTTCATGAACAATAAAGTTATTACTTGTGTCGATTATTTTCCAAAACAGTATAGTGGTCAATGTCGTATTTATTCATATCCATACACAATGAATTATTATCGTAAAATTACAAATAAGTTTCCAGGTGGATTATTTAAATATGTTTGCGAAGTATCATTATTTGATGAAAGTTCTTTTAAACATGAATTTTTTCTTCGAATTGCTCAATCATTTCCATTTCTTAAAGCATTATCTGTAAATAATCGGATACCTCAAAAGTATAAACAATGTCGAACATCAAATGATGACAATCAAGATCCTTTAATTATTAAATATTTTCATCTTATCGATCTTACCCTTCTGTGTGTTCACGCTGATTATGTTGAGCAATTTCTTGATCCTACTAAAACATCTATTTTGAATAATATCTCACTTTATGTTGATTATTATCGTCTACGAAAAGCGACACACAATTTCAAACGAAATGATATGCGAATCAATTGTTCTAAGGTGACTAATTTACGTCTTTTTGGCAGTTTTCAAATTTCTAAACATTTCAAAGCTTATTTTCCTAATGTAAAACATCAATGATTTTTTGTGGATGTGGGTGCGTGCGCGTGTGTGGGTGTGTGTGGATGTGTGGGTGCGAATGTGGGTCGCCTGTTCGCCTACACACCCAGCCACGCTCACACCCACATACACCCACCTACACACCCCACATCCACACCCACACCTTCGACGCAAAAGGAAAATTATTCAAATAATAGGATGTGTATTGCAGTGGTGGTTCTAGGATTTTTTTTATAGGGGGCAATTTTGATCAGAAAACGAGTTTTGATGTGTATTAGTGGTAGTATGAATTTGACTTTTTAGCCTTTTCTGCTGGAAAAATCAAAAATTTTTTTTTTCGAATACGGGTAATCGCCCTTCCCCTTAAATCGGCCACTGGTATACTGATATTCCAATGACATCTACACTCGTCATTTATTGATTGACCGAAATAAAATGTCTTTGGAAAACGATATGATTATGATAATATTTAAATAAACCTATCGAAAATTACGCATCTAACATTTTGAAATTCTTTCTCACTATAAAAATTATAATTTTTGTAGGCATTCTGAGCACAAGGACTGATCAGTTCGAAAAAAGTCATGTAAGAATATTTATTTTGACTTTTGGTTCTTATTCATTTCTTTTTCTTTCGTTGCCTTCATTTACTTTTTCTTTCGTTGCCTTCATTTACTTTTTCTTTCATTGAATCATCGTATTTTGTAAAATTTTTGTTGTTGCATATAAACAAACATACTTCTTCGAGTTTTATTGTATAAACTGTCGTCTTCTACCTGTTGCTGCAGCATATATTTCCTCGAAAACTGATCATGAATTTAGAACAAACTACAACAATAACACTTTCATGTGATATGTCCAAAGAACACTCAGGGCCTACAATGATTCATAGTACGGGAGTTCCAAATTATCAGATTCATCCAATGCAAATTTACATTTTGCAAGATGCATTTCCAAACGACGAAATACGAAATGACAGTCAAGGCGTTTTGTACAATGTTCCACCAGCAAATGTTATTCAAGCACTTAAAGACTTTGGATTTTCTATAATATCGACAAAGACGTCTGGTGTTCGCAAAGTATGGGTATTATCACTTGAAGGTAGCGGCAGTGATGATGGTGGAGACGAATGAGGAGATTGAGAAGAAGAAGAAATAGAAGACCGAGTTCAATTATTCGGAATGGTTTCGAAAAAACATTAGATTTTCATTTTTTTGTCTAGTTAAAAATCCAAGTATAAATCTTGTTTAATAAAATCTAGGAGAAAGATGAATTCATGATTTCTTTTAACAGAAGTCGACGTTACACTCGTGATGAAATACTCATTTCAAATATCATTTCATCGGCATCATTCGAGCATATATTTTTTTGAATCTGATGAATCAATATGTCTTGATAATACTTTCAGTGGTGAGTTTTATGCGAAACACTCATCACCAATTGTGGGAAACATTGATTTACCCCAACAAAATTGAAAGTTTTATTTTTTATTCTGTATGAAGAAACGTATTCTGTATTTGCAAACATTCGCAACAACTATTGCATAGTGATGGAGAGGCTTTGCTTTTTCAGAAAAAAATTAAAATTACTTTTTTTTACATTCTGTAAAAAGGAATCCATGCATCTGTTGTGTAAAATGCCGTCAATCATTGCGTCCATCAATGGTTTACTGCTTTGTTCCACCACTCGTGTAAATGACTTTCAGAGTCTTTTGAAAAGAAAATACATCAAGGATTACATAATGAAAACTTTATTGATCAGAATATATTCAAATTTGGATGTAGCTGATATGAACAGATTCAAAGCCTATGCTCTGGTCTTGTTGGCAACTTCGATGTCAAATAGCTGCAAGAATCGATATAGTTTCTTTCAAAAAACATTTTCCTTTGATTTTTTTTCAATGAAGACTAGGAGAGTGAGCTCGTCTCGTTAAATATGATGAATTTCCAACTTTTGATGGCTTTAGCTCAGCCGTCGAAAATCGTGTGTCAACAGAAGCATAATGCGTGCAAGTACGACATAGTGATTATCGGATTTGTGTATTTAAGGGGGTGAGGGTGAATATATAAGAGGATTCCAAGCTACTTACGATGATCGTTTCGAACCTTGCTTAAGGGTTCATTATCAGCTAAGTTTGGAAAATATACTACTCAATAGAATAGAAGATTGCAGAATTCAGAGCATTGACACGACGCGTTTCATCCTTTCTCAAGGGAGTTGTCAAGTATCTTTAGAATTCTATTACCACATCATCAAAACTCTCCAACAAAATGAAGAAGGTAAGATGGGTGTGGGGTGTCGGTGTGGGTGGGTGTGAGTGTGGGTGTGGGTCTGGGTCTGGGTTTGGGTATAGTTCTTCTTTCACAGATACACATGGTTTCAGACCCACACCCCCACCTCACACTCACACCCCATATCCACACACACCCTTTTCTTCAAGATAAGATTTCTCGAAATTAAGCTTTTTTTGAGGGCTTATACTGCGTGATACAGTTCTGATTCTTATGGCAAGTGATATAGGACACTTCAATACATCGTTAGTAATGAAAAGCTCGAAATCGAAGAAAACCAGTTTTTCCGGCAAGGAAGGGAAGGTGTCCCTCCTAGGTGGGAATTAATATCAGATTACTTTACCAGCAAAAGTAAAACCTAGAGAAAAAACAACAACGCACATGAAGTCAAAAGAAATGTGTTATCAGTTACTGATATTATTTCTAGCTGCTTATTTTTCGAGGGTACGATACTGAAGTATATCATTTTGTTTCTTTAGTTTCTGATAACTACACTGGTTCTTGTTATTACTTTATCTTTCACATCTCGTTTAAAATGACGTCTACAGATGAAATTTTCGATATAGTTATTGTTGGATGTGGTCCTGCTGGAATGGCAGCAGCAATCGGTTTACAGGCAGTCTCACAATTAAAATTTATTGTACTTGAAGCTCGTAATCGTGTTGGTGGTCGCGTTAGTACTGATACAACTACATTTGGTATAAATACACCTATTGATTTAGGTGCACAATGGTTACATCATTATCGCCCTGAAAATCCTTTATATAAATATCATGCAATATCTGAAGATATTAGTATTAATAATCTTTTTATTTCACATTCATTAACATCACCATTTTTTGATATTGATGGCACACGAATATCGTCCGATAAAGTTTATAAAGCCGAAGCACTTTCTAAACAACTATGTAAAATAGTCGAAGAATCCGCGCTTTCAATCGATAAATCATTGTTTGATGCTATTAAAAGTGAATATATGAATTATGATAATGATCCTCAAATAAAAAGATTACTTGATTTATTTCTTGGCATTATTGAACAATATGAAGGATCCAATCTTGATCAACTATCAGCTAAATCGTTTTTTAAATCCGATAATGGTTTTCCCGAATGTAATTTATCTTTGCCAAATGGCTTTGGTACTTTTATTGAAAAAGTTGTTCAACATCATCAATTACCTGTTGAACTTAATTGTATTGTTACTCGTATAGATACTTCATCATCGGATTCAATTGTTCGAATATATACTAAGGATGAACGAATACTTTTATCTAAATATATTCTTATTACAATTTCAATTGGATGTTTACAAGCTAGTTCAATTGAATTTATACCAAGTTTACCTGAATGGAAACAAAATGCAATAGATATTATGGGTACAGGACTGGCAAATAAAATCTTTTTACAATTTCCATTTGTATTTTGGGATCCTACATGGCCTTTAATATATTCTACATCACCTCGATTTCGTTTTTTTATATGTCGACCTAATGATTGTATACTTCAAATTAAGCTTGCTGCTCGAACAGCAATAGAAATTGAACAAAAAGATGATAAAGAAACAATTGATGAAGTTATGGCATTGTTAAGAACTATATTTTCAGATAGAGATGTACCTGAACCAACTAAATTTCTTATTACAAAATGGCATCAAGATGAATTTTCAAGAGGTGCTTATTCTAATTTTGCTGTTAATACAGATAATCAAACTTTAATCGATCTTGCTCGAGAATGTAACGGTCGTATACACTGGGCAGGTGAACATACAAATCATGATGGATCAATCGGCTGTGTGGATAGTGCTTTTGAAAGTGGGCAACGTGAAGCCAAAAAAATAATACAAAGAATAAAATTATAGATATCATTTTTTGATTAAATGAAAAGGTATGCGTATGACATGCCGTGTATTGATTATAAATGCAATAAATTAATTGCGATAGTTTTAATAAAAAATAATAATTATTCTATTTTGAGTTTTAGAATAAAATATTTTTCTTAGAAATGTATGATTATATGTTGTCAAATGATCAGAAAATGAAAAGAACCATAAACCATTAAAAAAAAATCTGTCGTTCAAAAAAAAAAAGGAAACCTTATTAAAACGAATGTTGAGAAATTTTTCGCTTCGAATGCAATTGTTCATATTAACTATATAAGTAACGCAAATCGAGACTCGATTCACTTGGCTCTGGATTGATGGGATAGAAATTTGCATATAGGACGTGGACGTGGGTGAAGAAGAGACTGGTATCGTAGTTGAAGAAACTTAACTCAACAATAAAATATTCTAACTATCCCGAATAATCTAATAGGTAAGAAATTAGCTTTAAGTATGATGAATAAATTTGTAAAAAAGAAATTTCATTTTTTACCAAAACATAATCCTCACTGTTATAAAAACTTATTTTAGGGTGTGGGTGTGCTGTGTGAATGTGAAGCTAAGGCTGATGAAGACAAAGATACTGACACTCACACCCACAAGCATACCCTATTCATTAAATAAATTTTTCTTCTTTTATCCATCTTTACAATATGTCAATGGATTTTATTGATTAATAAAAAAAAGAGGATGATAATTAATAAAGATTGGTTCTCAACAATTATGTAGTTGAACTTGAATCAAAATTAAATTTTTCATATTCGATCATTCTTATAATCGATAACATAGATTTTAGCCTTTCGATGATATTACAAAGTTGATTAAGAAACATTTAATCATAATAAAGAGCATATAAGAATGAAACAGATGAAGATTATGTTCCTATATCTTACTCATTGATTTAAGACTAATGGTTAACACATGCTTGATGTCACACTATATGATGTGATAGGACATATTTTTAATAGTCTTCTATTTGTTTGGAAACGAAAAAAAGAATATTCGTCATAGGGTCGTATTATTTAAAACGAAAATAAAAATGGCGTCAGTAACAAGTATTTCATAGATAACTAATTTCTATTTTGTTTCTTCTTCATTAATCATTAAAATCACTATGTATTTTAGTTCATATTAAACAATATTTTTTCTTCTAGATTAAATCATATGGATTCATTGTTTCAAGAATTCCTTGATGAGAATTTAGAAAAGATTAAACGTCAATTCGACTATTTATTTATTTTTATTCATACCTTTATTGTGTACGAGTTTAAAATTGAGGTAACACAAATACTTCTTTTTAAAAACTATAGGTATATGTGTTTTTTTTTTTGTTATTTCAAAGAAAACAAAAAACAATTATTGATTTAGCTAAATCCGGTGCAAACAAATATCGGGTTGATTATTCAATAAATGGCTGTTTTATTGAAATTATTTTTACAAAAGATCAAAAAACCATGAAAATTCAATTAAATGTAAGCAAATATTTTTGAACTTTAAAAAATTTTGTTTTTTTTTCGAAATTTCAGAATTGTAAGATAAATTTCCAAAAAAATATTGATTTGGATATAAATTATTATGTAGAAACAACAGAAGAAAGCACTTATAAGTAAGATATTTTCTCAAAGAAATGTTTTTTTTATTCTTTTGTTTGTAGATCAAACCATTTAGTTCCACTAACAAGGGAACACCCCTAGGTGAAGCTTCACTTTTGACGTGATATTTTGTCCATACATAGGCCTTAGTGAGACTAGAAAAACTCTAAAAGGGCTTGGTTTTCTGGCGCTTCCTTCTTGAGCTATGACCGTTTTAGCAAAATTTTGGCCCTATGGTAGATACTTTCGAAAAATTTCATTTTGAGGATTTTGATCTGAAATTTTGCCGGCAGATAGCTCTTATAGATACTAGATTATCTTGAAAGTTTCGACAAAAACGAATATGTCCTTCTCGATATATTCCATTGGCAAAAAAATCGACATTTGTCATACGAAAGATACAATAATTGAGTTTCCTGTAAATTCAATATCTTGCGAAGGATACATTCATTTTTATGGAATCTTTCAGGATAATCTAGTATCTATAAGAACTATCTGCTGGCAAAATTTCAGATCAAAATCCTCAAAATGAAATTTTTCGAAAGTACCTATCATAGGGCCAAAATTTTGCTAAAACAGTCATAGCTCAAGAAGGAAGCGCCAGAAAACCAAACCCTTTTAGAGTTTTTCTAGTCTCACTAAGACCTACATATGGGCAAAATATCACGTCAAAAGCGGAGCTTCACCTAGGAGTGTTCCCTCGTAAGTGAAAAATCATTTGCATTTATTACCGGTAAAAAGTTAAACATCAATGAAAATTCAAGAAGTTCAACAACAACAAAAACATTAACATTTACCTTCATCAGAAACAGTACATGTTCAAACACGAAGTATTCATATTTAAAAGAATTGATAAATGGAAGAATGACTATTTAAAAACACATTCGTACTGCACCATGTCATCGAAAATAATAGAACACGATATACATGTTTCTTTTCTAAATAAAATATCTTTATGAATTATTATGATTTATAAG